TTGTGAGGATTATTCTTTCACTAGCTCCTAAAAAATCCTGGCCACTCCATCAGTTAGATGTTAAGAATACATTCTTGCATAGAGACATCCAAGAAGAAATTTGTATAGCCATGCCTCTTGGTTTTCAGATTAAGGGGGAGAGAGGAAAGTTGTGCAAGTTAGAAAAGGAAATATAAGGACTTAAACAGTCTCTTAGAGAGTGGTTTAACAAATACAATGAGGCACTGCTGATATTTGGTTTCTAAAGGAGTCAAGCTGTCAATTTCAAAACAAAAAGAGTCAAGCTGTCATATACTCTTTGTGAAGAAGAATGTTCCTGGAATTGCAATACTTATAGTGTATGTTGATGATATTGTTATGGCAGGAGATGATTTGAAGGGCATTGAGATGATTTGAAGGGCATTGAGAATCTTACATCTTATTGAAGAAGGGTCCCCTAAAGTATGTTCAAGCAATTGAAGTGGCCAGACTAGAGAAAGGAATAACCATCTTTCAAAGAAAATATGTTTTGGATTTGTTACAACAAACAGGGATGTTGGGATCTAGACCGCAGATACTCCTATAGAAGTCAATCAAAAAATTCTTAGAGAAAGGGGAGAGTTACTCCACTTCCTAACTAATAGTTAGCAAGCTTATATGTACCCCACCATCACTCGACCAGACATCTGTTGTGCGGTTATCATGGTTAGCCTATTTATTCATGCACCACGAAAACCACACCTTGATGCAGTGTAAAGAATATTAAGATATTTCATGTTTGCTCCAGGCAAAGGGATAGTTTTCTCCAATCAAGGGCATCCTAATGTTGTTGTTTATACTGATGTTGAATGGGCAGGTAGCCAAACTTTGTTTATACCGATGCAAATAGGGCAGGTTACCAAACTCATAAAAGATCCACAACTAGTTATTGTACCTTTGTTTTAGGAAATCTGGTTTCTTGGAAAAGCAAGAAAAAAACTGTCGTGACAAGATACAAGGCAATGGCTCATGGTACATGTGTAGTAATGTGGGTTAAAAGAGTTCTTGTTTTATTTGCTAAAGTTAATCCCATAACTTTATATTATGACAATCAAGTTGCAAACAATGCAGAGAATCTAGTATTTCATGAAAGAACTAAACACATCGAAGTAGTTGTCACTTCCACATTTGAAGTCCAAAGATCAACTTGCAAATATCTTCACTAAAGCTGTTGGATGGGACAGACTACATGATATCACAAGCAAATTGGGCATGATTGATATCTATGCACCAGCTTGAGGGGGAGTGTTGGAAATAAAAGAATATGTTTTATTGTATTTAATGGGCAGAATTTTCATTTATCTTTGTTCAGGACTTTGTCTTATTTCTCTGATAAGGGCAGTATTGTCTATACAATGTAATTAGGCTGTAACTTAATATAAGAAAGCAGGATGGAGGTCTCATAGGACTATCACGCCACTCTCGTGTTTTCTCTATCTCTCTATTTCCCACAAGTTACACTCCCCTCATCTACTTCTTCCTTATTTTCTTTCTTCTCTTTCTCTCTCTAAGATCTAGTCTAATTGTCTTCTTCCCTACTCTCTCTTTTTTAATTTCAACTAATTCTAAATGAAGGAAAGGGGGTGAATACCTCATTTTATTCTGTTATGTGAGTAGTACTTGGGCTAATACTGCGTCAACTAGCCAAATGCTGTGAACTCGGGTGAATCAGCCCGAGTTCCACAGTAGTGGAGCACTTTGCACAATACTCACCCCTGTACTAAGTACCTATTCAGGCCTTGGAAGCCTGTCAAAGGCCAAGCTACTCGCTAGAATTGGAGTCGACTAAAGCGAGTCTCCAAACACTGGTGGTAGGACAAAATTTTAAAAAAGGAAAAACCATTGTGAAGAAATTAAAAAAAAAAAAAAGAAAAAAAAAGAAAAAAGAAAAAGGTGTTTGTAATGGAACTCGAACCAAGAAGCCAATAGAAACATTGTAAATATGGGATTGTTATTATAATTTTTTTTTATATATAGTTTGGATTTTTTTGGCAAAGATTGATTATTTTTTGGCAAGTCCCTATTTTTACATTTTCCTTTTTTTGGAATTTTTTTAAAATGTCCTCAACTATGAATTGATTTTTTAATCCATTTCTATACTTTTATTTATTTAACTTCTAGAAGCTTCATTTTATTTTTTTCTAATTTTGTCTAATTTTTATAAGTTTATCCAGGGCTATTGGCCCAGTACAGGACTCAGCTGATTCTACTTAGACTCAGCCAGCCAAGTCCCTTGGCCGAGGCAAGTTCCTAATCATTGGTCTTACCACATTTAACACATCAGAAAATGCCACCTAAACGTCAAAATAACATAAAACATACTATATAAGCAAAAACTCGGGCATGTAGCAGATTTCCATTTATAAAACTCATCCATTGGAAACAAATCAAAAAACAAAAAAACTCATCCATTGGACAATTGACTTAATTCAACATGTTTCTCCTGGTCTTATTCTCTGCTTCAAAGTATGTCGTCTACTTGTCTTCTGATGGAAAATGAAGAGAAAAAACATCAATTGATGTGCTGGTTAGAAACATGGAGTACACCAAGCACTCAGAAGCTCTTTCTACACAAACATGAAGCTGAGAAAGATCTGATGACTCATGAGATTGTTATAAGCAACTCCCTGTCACTAACAAGCCAGTAAGATAGTACGAGCATTCCTTTGGTGGCATGTGGTAAAAATAATCAACATATCCGAGGGTTCTAGCAGCTGGCCTATCATGTAGATATTGGAAGGTGAAAGTAGCAGTGCATTGATTGGCCAATTTGGCAAGTCATCTGACCCATTTTCTTGATGGTCCAAATAACATCATGATATAATTACAGGTGGATTCCCCAAGTTTACTGAAGTCTAAATATTCCTCTATATGACACAGACAAGTCAATATGATAGTAGGAAGCCCACATGTTATAGCACCACACCCCCCTTGTATCGAGGAATGGGTAGAAGCAGTGGAATAAAGGGCCCAGATGGTATATGAGTTTTTCTGAGATTCGCATGCGCTGAGAATCACCTGACACAGACAAGTCAATATGAGACCAGGAAGCCCACATGTCATAGCAACTCACCCCCGTTGTATCGAGGAATGGGTAGAAACAGTGGAATAAAGGGCTCAGATGGATATATGAGTTTTTCTGAGCTTCGCATGCAGTGAGAATCGAATGCATCTATCCATGTAGGTTGCCATGAACTATGGTTCTACTGGAGCTACCCACTTCGATCAATTAGCCAAGATTGTAAACTGTCATCTGCTTTGAGTTCTGCGTCCACTGATGTTTCTTCTCCTCTAATTTTTTATTCATTCCTAATGTAGTATGGACAACAGCCCAATTTGTTATCGTTACACGATTGGTTCTGTAACATAATAAAAGATAGAGAATACATTTGTGGATGTAATGCTCTTGGATGGTACAATTTGAAGGTTATCTGCTTGTCCCTTTTTCTTCCTTTGCTTTAGATTAAAGAGATTAAAGGGGAACTAAAGAAATGGAACAAGGATCAATCCAGTGACTTTTATATTTCTATAATTGAAGCTAAAAAAAAGGCTATAGCACATAAAAACCAACCAAGAGCATGACGGATGGATGAACGGAAGCTTCCCAAGAAAAGGAAATGGAAACCAAAAAACTGGAACAAGAACTGCTTAACAGGGGGGGGGGAGGGAATTTCCGGAGGCTTTAACACAACAGTAACACTATCATTTAAGTGAGAAATGGATGAAGGGAGCACAGAAGACCAGGCTGATATTAGAGACCTGCGAAAGAAGTACTTGTACATCATGTGTAAGACTGGAATCCAACCTCCTTGGGAGAACCTACTTGACTGCCTTGCCATGATGAAAAATAGGACAATAACCATTTGATCAAACTCTAGAAGGAGAGTCAAAAGGATTGAAATTTCCATTGCATAATGAGAGTCCCCTGCAAGCAAATGGCATATCCAGCACCTTTTATCATGCATGACAGATCATCAAAGAACACCAGATTTGAACCATCAGAAGGGTTTACATTATTCAGAAAAGAATAGCCTTTGTGACTTCCAATCAGTTTAGGAGAAGTAGATTACAAGGAGCTTCTACTACAATGCAAATTACAAACTTGGCATGCAACTCATGAGGTTTTCCTCAAAACAGCGTTTTGCTTCCATAATGAACACTGAATGCAGAACGACTTCAGACTTAATGTGAAGAATAGTGGGACCTGTACCGTAAGGTTTGGCTTAGTGGTATACATCAATTTGGGTACGGGAGGTCAAGGGTTCAAATCGTTTTGTCTCAAAAAAACCAAACAAAGCTGAACAATCCTTTTTCAAGAATGGACTCAAGACTAGGAGCTCAGGGTGGCGGGGTGCCACACTATGACACCTTGAATTCCATTCCTAACATGGGACCCCTTCCCAGCTGAACTACTCAAAAAACAAATAGTAGAACTTTCTTGTAATGATGGAGTTGCCATCATAGGGTACTTTCTTGTAATGATTGTGGGACTCAAAAGTGTAAACTATACAACATCATAGGCTACTTTCTTGTAATGATGGAGTTGCCATGTGCTTCATTGCACAAAGTAAATGCTCCTTGGGGACAAGCTTGCTTAAAGGCCATTAAAACAACTAATAAATAATAAAGACAATAATAATAATATAATGATTCAAATCAGGAGAAAAACAATTAGAAAGTCAGAAGTTGATATATATAGAGAACCAGTTCAGCCCAATTGTGTTGCCAAATAACCACTAGAGTGAAAAAACAATAAACATCAGGCATGAAACATAGAAGCAAGAAGGCCAAACACCAACACTTGAGGAAGAGAAACCAACTGCATAAAGCAATACACCATCTTGTAGCAATGTAGCAAAGAAGAAAAGTAAATCAACACTTAGAAAGGAAGGATCAAGCAAGTAAAAGAAAAAAATAAAATAAGATACCTGGTAAAATAAAATAACGGGTACGCAGCTTTAACAAAAAACAACAGAATATACCTGGTCATCCTGATCTTTTTCAGCAACCTGAATCATGTAGTCAAGAGCCAGCAAGAAGCCAGCCTCCATCTGGTCCACCCTCTGCCCTATCACCCCTTGGGCAGCTATTTCTACCGCAACTTCCTCTGATTTCGCATCCATGTTCATATCTTCCAACTACAAACAAATCATGCATTTAACATGTGCTTGCTTCGCAAACGCCATCTCATCACATTTCATCAAACCATCAATTACGGCAACTGTGAATGCAAATCGCCGAAAATGAAAAGAAATGGCAAATAGAATTGAGAAAGACACAACCACTAGATGGCATCACTTCACCTCATTTTACTTTTAATCGAGCAAGCAAAGTTTTTCAAAGAATGAGACGTACGAGTTTGAGCATTTCTTGCATTACAGAAACGACCTGCTCTCCTCCTTTGAGGAAGGCCTCATAATCCTCTTTACTTTTATCCCTTCCGCCATTATTACCTCCTTTGTTTACACCCAAATCCGCATCAGGAAAACCTCCCGCAACCTCATAAGGAGCTGTACACTGTAGAGGGCCCAACTTGGAGAAAAGCATGCTGCTTTTCTCTCTGAGACAAGCAGGGTTGGTGGGTTTGAACGAGAGGGGAGGGAGAAAGCAAGTGGTGCATTTTGGGACTGTAATCAGGGGGGAATTGGGGGACGAGGAGGAAAACAGGGCTTTCATTTTTTATTTTTTTTTTGCCCTTTAGAAGATATTATTGGGACAGATTTGAGTTGAGAAATGACGTCTGCAGACTCAAGCAGCAGTTTGCTCTGTGGGCTTGGAGCGAGAGACTCCTGCAAATGGGGTTCCATTTCCATCCTTTTGTTTTTTAGATATTGTCTGGAGCCTGTATCCTGAAAATGTTGACCATAAAACTTGAATGAGTTTGCGCTCTTGTGCATACGTGGCTCGCTTTCATAATCCGTCAATGTACGGAATTTGGAATTAAATTTGTGCACGTCGAGAGGATCCACCACTGCAACAACGATCGGTAAAATAAAGAGGGTTAGTAGAGTGGGGAACCGCTTAGTTTTGATCCAAGGTCACAGTTGCTGCTGACCATTAGATGTCAAAGTGAGGTTTAGTATAGTGTGTAACGGTTTAGTTTTGATATAAGGAGGTCACAATTGCTCCCGGATGTCAAAGTGGGTTTGGGGTTAATCATAGAGTTAAAATATTAAAATGGGGTGGACCTCTTGATCGAGAACCATATCGAGAAAACTCAATAACGGTTGGGAATTTGGGTTGGATAAAGAGTGGTGTATTAACATAGCTGTAATGTTGTTTAAAAAAAAAAGCAAAACATATTTAAACAATTACAGGAATATCTTTGTAAAGCTTTTGGGAACTATCCTAAAATCAAAGATTGGTATATTGGTAGAGGAAAAAGAATACGAGTAATTTTCAAGCAGGTTTCGACAACATCATTCTACAAGAGATCATCTCATCACCTTGAAATATCTCATTTATCAAGCTAAATACCAAACCAAGAAAACTTTCATAATTTTTGTGGATTTCTCTAAACCATATGACTCTATCAATAGAAAAACAGTCATGGCAAAGACTACAAAATATCGAGGCCCCAATACCTTTGATGTCAGCAATCCAAATGCTCTACTCAGATGTATGTATCCAACTCAAATATGATAATTCTCATGACAGTATGATGTTTCATAGATCTGTTGGTGTTAAGCAAAATTTCCCTCTTTCCCCCACACTATTTGGTGTTTTCATAGATGAACTAGCGACTAAGATTCCTCCTAGTGATTCTATTCTATTAGGCCAATCTCATGCTCATCTCTTGCTCTTTGCAGATGAGGTAGCTTTGATTTCCAAGTCAAGTCAAGGTCTGTAAATGCTTCACATTTTTGGTGAATTTTGTCAGTATTCTAGAATGAATATGAATGTCCAAAAAACTAAAATTATGATCAGTGGTACATGAAATATTGACTTGGCTTTTTAGATAGGAACTGAGTAGGTTGAGATTGTTTCATCATATAAGTATTTGGGTTTAGAATGCTCCAATAATTTTAAATGGAATAAATACATTGCACAAAAAATCACAGGAGGTATGAAATCCTTCTTTGCATTGAGAAGTTGATGCAAAAAGGAAGCCATCTTATGTTGGGATGTCCAAAGACAACTTTTTTGCACTATGGTACAACCAACTGTCCTTTATGGTTGTGCAGTTTGAGGCCCTGGATTAGCAAACAACTATTGGAAGAAAATAGAAGAAGTTCAAAACAAATTTTTTTTTACAAGAATTACAGGTAAAACAAGTGGCCCAATATGATATTATGCTCCTAAATGCTAAGTTGATACCCCAAGAAGTTGAGGCAATTTATCAATTTGTCGTTTTTGCTCAACACTTCACAACTTCTGTGATTGATAAAATTTCGAAGTAAGTTCTCCATGCTACTCAGAATAAGGGTTGATTATACTGGTGAAAGCTTTGGTTAAAGAAATGGAACATTCATGACAAAATCTTCTATTGGGACCTTAAGCAAATTCGAAAAATTGCGTGGCAAAAAGCAACCCAAAGGATTTGGGAGGAAGTAGAAGGAAAGAAACAATTTTATTTTAGTAATATCACAAGAAGAATTTCAATAAAAAGCAACTTATTTGAATTATCCTATCCCTATTTGTCTATGAATCCACATCAGAAGGGCGAGAATAGGATCTCATTACTTTCGTATTGAAATAGGAAATGGCTTCAAATTCCTGGAGAAGAGTGAACTTTATTGGCTTTGTGCTGAAGATGCTATTGAGGACGAACATCATATTTTTCTACAGTGTGCCACAACAGCAACCACCCAAGAAAAGTGGAACATCAATGTTCATAATTTGATTAATTTGTTCCAGATCCTATCCAAGACTCTTGGTCACTTTATTGGAGAAATTTTAAAACTCATGTCATGTACATTTCTGTCCAATAGATCCTGAGGGTCTTATATGGACATAATAAAAATTTAGTTTCAATTTCTGTTTCAATTTCATGAAGTTGGATAAATTTCTTTTTGAACCTTGAGTCTAGTCAATGATATGCTCACAACCATCGGATTGCATATACAAGAGTGGTTGTGACCTCCTTACATTAAAAACAAAGGTTCTCTTTATATACTTCTCCAAAATAAATTAGAATTTAATAATGCATTTCCTGAGAAGGATTACAATATATGGTCAAAATATGATCTAAGAATGAACAATTGCATGAGTTCCTTGAGACTCAAGTTGCACAATCGCTGGTAGGCTTGACTCAAAGATTGAAATCGGATAAAATTGTGCAAGTCAATAGTCTCAACCAATCTAAAAGTTAAATTAGAATCTAAAAGCTAAAAATAGATTACCCAAGAATAATTAAATTAAATTGTTACAACATGGTCCAAGGAGGAATAGCTGCATGAGTTCCTAGAGAAAATCAATGGCAGACTTGACTCAAAGGTTGGATTGGATCTAAAATTGTGCAAGTCAATAGTCTTGACCACTACCACTAGAATCTGGAAAATAAACTAGAATTTAAAACTTCAAAATAGATTATCGGGGGAGTGGTTGGGCCTCGATCTCGTCAGGTTAGTCCATGAGCGAGGACCCGTATATGGGGTCCGGCTCGAGATTGCTCTCTTGAAAATCGTGGTGCGCATGATGTGCGTTCGGGTAGGTATGACCTATGGAGAGAGAATTAGGGGTGTGAGGTGGGACCTACCTCATGGTGGATTCATGACAAGCTTGGGCGCGCGAGATACCCTCTTAGATCAAGATGGAAAGCCCCTAGCATGTGGCTAGTCCGGCTTTGGCTCCCATACTGTACTTTGTACCTTATAAACACACATGCGCAAGATGGCCAAACAAGTGGGTCAAAAGACCCTGACTTGTCATTAGAGCGATGATTTATTAAGAGTATATTGGGGGGAAAGATGAAGAAGACTAAGAAAAGATGGTAAAAGGACCACTTGTTAGTCTGGCCTTCCGGCATCACCTCCCCTAAGAGGAATACCGGAGACAGAAAAAATACCAAACCAAAGTCCGAATACCCCGAGGGATACTTAAGGAACTGAACTGTGGGACAGATCCAAGTCAAAGGAACCTCAGCATGGCCCCCAAACAAGTAGCATGATGGTAGTAACAATAATAATAAGAATAATAATAAAATATGAAAGAAGCAAGAGTTTTATAGAAATAATGGACAAAGAGAGAGAGAGGAAGAGAAAGAGAGGAAAATAACATGGATAAATTGAGGGGGGCAAAAAGAGATGTAAAGAAGAAAGAATGGAGTAATAAGAGAGAATGACGAGGAATATAGGGGGAGAAAAGTAGAAGAAGTGAGATAGGATGGGAGAGAAAGATATTAGAGGAAGGAGAGAGAAAGAGAAACGAGAGAGAGGTTTAAAGACATTGAGAGAGAGAATTTTGTAGGTGAAAGAGAGAACTAAGAGAGAGAGAGAGGGGATCAGAGAGAAAGAGACGAGAGAATTGGTGAGAAGGAGAGAGAAAGAGACCGTCAAGAGAAGAGAGAATGAGGAAAAGAGTATGAGAGAGGGGGAAAGAGGGAGATAAATGAATGTAAGAGAGAGAGTGTACGAGAGAGAAATAGAGTGAGGGAGAGGACCGAGAGGGAGAAAGAGATTATGAGAGGAGAAAGAGAGAGAGATTGAGGTAGATAATGAGAGAGAGAATGACGAGGGAGAGGAGAAGAGAGAGGAGAAAGTGAGAGGGAGGAAGAAAGAGAGAAGATAGAGGGATCGGGGGCTTAACTCCCAGTCCGAGACCGAGAGAGAGAGAGAGAAGAAGAGAGGGGATCGACAGCTTAGCCACTGGTCCGAGAGAGAGAGAGAGAGCAAGAGAGAGAGGGAGGGAGGGAGAAAAAGAGAGGGGATAGGTGACAGACGACGAAAGTAGAGGGGAGAGAGAGAGGAAGAGAGAGCATGAGGGAGAGAATGAGGAAGAAAGAGAGAAGAGTGAGGGACTGGGGGCTTAGCCCCCTGTTTGAGGATGAGAGAGAGGGGGAGAGAGAGAAAGAAGGGAGAGAAAGAGAGAGAAAGTGATAAGAAGAGTGGGGATCAGCGACCTAACGCCAGCTCGAGAGGAGAAGAGAGAGAGGGAGAAGAAGAGAGTGAACCGGCAGCCTAGCCACCGGTCTGATGGGAGGAGAGAGAGGGAGAGGAAAAAAGAGAGAAGAGGGAGGGACTGGGGCCTTAGCCCCCGGTCTAAGGTACTGAGAGATTGGGAGAGAGAGAGAGGAAGAAAGAGAGAAGAGGGAGGGATCGGGGGCTTAGCCCCTAGTCCGAGGACGAAAGAGAGAGAGAGACCATGCATTCGGAACAAAATTTTGTCGAAGTTCATCTTTCGAATCCTTATTAAGATGTTTTTATTGTTGCCTCTCAACACTTTTTTTCTTCTCCATCATTGGCATCAACATGATCCTTGAGGGGGAGACCATGCTAAGCTTCTTCCATGAGGGGATGAGCGAAGTGAACTCTAGCAACCTGGGGGCATTGTTTAAGGGATTCTTTTCCAATGTCACTAGAATCAGTTTTCTGGGGAGTGTGCTGACCGGGGGCCTTGTAGAAGGGCTTATCGTGACGTCCTCGACAACACTTCCTTCCAGCTGGTGGGTGCCCTTGGGGGCTTGCTCCCAATCCAGTGGGGTGGAGTACCTTAGTCTCTGCGTGAGTGCCTTTTCGAAGGCTTGCTTCCGACCTTCTTTTTATTGCACCAGCTGAGTGTCCCTGAAGGACTTTATCCCAGTATAGCTAGAATGTTTTTTTTTGTGAGAAGGGTTGGTCTGATTTTCACCTATTACCTTCAAATTTTTCATCCCTAAGTGAGTGACCTTTTTAAGGGCT